CTGTGTTTCACTATCGCAGACAGTCATGGACAGCCAACTCTGGATCCGCACCAAGCTGGTGTATTTCTGTCCCGATGTCACGTCACTTACACTTTGTCATGACAGTACTATAACACTATGACAGTTGGGATGTCTGAACATCACATTTCAGGACCAGGAATCCCGAGAGGTAAGGGGATTAATGTCCTCTGTGTTTTGCTTCTTCTGTCACTTCTTTCGTTTTTATCTACAGTGAATACATGAAGAATATATCACCGACGGTTCTACTACACAATTTATCCAGTGTAAATCCCAATTAAGTGAATGATATCGTGGCAGAGAAGTTAATCAGTGTTCGACAACTATTCTGACTGTGATCACTAGTGGATAGAGAAGATTGGAAACAAACATTCACAGGTGTGACCTATAGAGGTGGATACCCACTGGTTTCCTCTCAATTCTCTACTTTGCAGGTGAATGAGATAAAGGTGACTTGTGATAGCTATTGCTATGCCTATTTTACAGATCTCCCTAGGGAATAATACCCCAGAGGTAATATGGCAAGGGAATAACACAGCAGTACTAGAGCTAGGAGATATGTCTGATGGAGGAGGATTCCAATGATCACTACATTATCCAAGTGGACAATGGCACACAGTTGGAAACTCCAGGCCCCACTACAGTTTTTACATCATGTACAATACTACAATGTCAGTGAACATCTCAGCCCACAACTGTGCAGGATACAGTGACCCCTTACCACTTGAGATACAATGTGATGAAGGTGAAGTAGCTAGCTACTGACCCTTTGCTCATTATTTCTGTGTGATTTGTATTTACACAGATTTTTTATGGAAGAGAGCTCATCTAGTATGACGCCTAGCCTTAATTCTAGCCTTCCAATCTGGAAGCTAGCAGTGCAGTCTACAGGGATTGGGGTCTTCTATTGATTGTCAAACAACTGGTGACAGTGCTATCTTCATGCCTTATTCGAAAACACAGTTAGTGTAGATTTTCAACTTGTCTATACTTATGTATTTTACAGGGTCAAAAAGAATCTTTCCGTTGCTTCAAATTTAAGGTACACCTAACCCATGGCTTTAATGAGAAAGATCTTTTTTGCAGGAATCGTGAACAGTGCGTATTGTACTAGGATTGACTGTGCAGCAAAATGGAACTCCAGCACCTGTGGAATACTCGTATATCCCAGTAAGAGAGTAGTTTTACTGCTCTATTAGAGGAGAAGCGTCTCGTAACTTCCCAGTTGCTGACTTGTTCTGCTGCTGGATCACAATATATCTAAGCTTTATGTTGTAGAAAGACACTATCACAGCAATAGGTTCTAAGTCCAAATCATCATAAAAGGGGAGAGCTGGGCCAACCTACAGTTTACATCTACTGGCTGTGTGTGTCAATACCCTCGTTAAAGATCCTGAACTGTAAAACTTGCAGCAACAGGAAAGTCACCTGATCTTATTTTAGGAGGGTCTGGCTCCTGTCCTTGTTGCAGTTACAGCTACCAGAAAGTATTTGGAGCGAGACTGTACAGGTCAATACAGCACAGTAATCAACACTGGTCGCTGCAACTCCTTGATAATGTGAGATTATAAGCACGCAAGTTATTTTTTCAGTAGCTATGATGTGAGCTTCAACAAAAACTAGGTTCACAGGTTATCCTTGTAAGTTAGTTTATTTCACAATCATGCTTCACCTCAGGGAATCTTTTTCGGGGGTATAGTTAAGTCTTGTTATATTTTTTGTACCACAGAGGCCCTAGAAATCAAAGGCACCGCACGCAGTGTATGCGCACTAAGAAAACTTATTAGTATGCATGCCATGGTGTATGGTGTGCTGACTCAGCCATACACTCACATGTGGTGTATGAGCTCTCATACACCATGGCATGCATACTAATAAGTTGTCTTAGTGTGCTTCCAGTGGTACAAATTGGTTACATTACACCCACACTCGTGCTGCGCAATCGTAGTGTATGTCCACTAAACGGGTTGACTGGCATTGTGTAACCTATAGTAAGAGGCCACAATTAAGGCTAGGTGTTTATTGCTACCATCATTTTTGTGGTGAGTGTAAGTAGGAAAGTTATGTGTGTTTCCTCATAAAGTATAGCTGCTTCTTCCTCTGCTGTGTGTGCACACATTTCTGCTGTAGTGTTTCATTAGCACAGCCAAGTTTGACTTCTTCCACCTTCAGGTGTTTTCAATCCTCCCACATTATGCTTTCACTGTTTACTCTCATATGTCTATTTCCTCCCACATAGGACTCCTATTGTATCGTTGCACATTTTTACAAAACACTTTATTACTAAAATATCCTGTCTATTATGATTAGCTGGTTGGAAGAGAGAAACTTACAGAGTAATTTTTTAGGGACGATTTCCCTATTCCCATTAGCGTATATAATCATTCGTGTGAGTGATACCAGAGTCTAAGCAGTACACTCAGTGAAGGTTTTCAGACTGTGTATATGTTTCATATGCTCATAAACTCTTTTATACTCTCATTAGTTCATTGGAACATATGCTGAGATTGAGCTCGTCACCACCAGCTCAGCTCTCCCACCACCACCAATGACAGGGGAGACTGTCCAGTACTCTAGAGCCAGTGAGAAAGCAGCCATGTCGTCAGACACCACAGGAACCAGTTCAAGGCGAGGTTGTTTCTAACGATGAGAGATCACATGGTCAAGAGGACCAGGAGCAAAACAATGCAGAGCCCACTGATCTTCATCCCCTTGGTCAGCAACAAACACTTTATGTTTGACTGTATATACACTATGTTAATACCTAATTCAAGTACTTGCAGTTCCTAATGCTCACAATTACCCTAGGCAGAATATTATACCATGCACAGGAAGCTTTTCTATTAAACATAAAGTTCAGTTTCTTTTTTTCAGATTTTCCGCACTACTCATCTAAATAATCCGAGAAAACAAGTTATATTTCAGTGAACGCAGAATTTAGCAAAGTTGATAGTCAACTGTGGAAGTCGAGTTGACAAAGTTGATTTGTGACTGCGTAATAACAGTGGGTCCAACTTAATATCATACCGTTTAATAGAATATCCCGTATATTTATCATACAAACCTGAAATCCAAAACCATTTCCTATGCTTTCCCATACATTGTTTTATAGAATATGGATAATGTCATATCCCGCCAATTACCATAGAAAAATTGAGCAATTTTGGTTTTTGCCCAGGTAATCATTATGTGCAGGTGTAATTAGGCATTCAACAACCTTGGCCTGGAGTTTTGTCTCCACCTGGCTCCCATTAGCTTATGTAAACAGCTAGGCTAGCTTATCTTGATTAGTTTAGCTAAACAAACTGCATTGTGCGCTATCTTGGTCAAAGTATACATCAGTATACACAGTATACCCATGCACCCGCATTATATATACACACCCAAATTGTTGAAATATTGGTCATTATCATATATTTTGTATGCACCGTGGGTATGATATTAACCAGGACCCACTTTTATTCACTATCAGACAAGGATATCAGTGTTCACTTAATCCTGCTCCAACTGAGGACTGTACAGTCGTGTTGGCGTGCTCTGGGTGAGGCTGCTGGACTGGAGAGGGAGACTATGGACATGGTGGGTGTGACCTTACCATGTATACACCAACAGAGCACCACTACATCGGTTGGTAGAGCGCTCACCTAGATTAACCGAAATTCTATGGACCTTAATTAGGCAGGAAGCAGAGGAAGTAGGAAAGGCAGTTCCAGAAAGAGTTATCCTGGGTGTAGTTGACTTGTCTGCTTTAACTTGCCTTTCTATACGTCTTTGATGACACATTCATTACAGTGGATAGAATGTAGCTAGCTGATTGTGAACATGGTCTAGCATAAGAATAACATTGTTTTGCAGATTGACGTGGAGTTGGGTGATGACAGTGCCAAGTTGGCAGAGGTGGTGTTTCAGTGGTATGAGAGAAAGGAGTGTGTGAGGTGGTCAGATGTGTCCTCCCTCTGTGAGCAGATTGGTTTCAACCAGCTATCCGAGGCCATTAGCACTGCTTACATCACCGGTGAGTTTTATCGTACCATGGTAAACAGATTTCCGCAACTCGAGTGTTTTTCTGAAATGGTGAGAATGATTGTTTCCTCGCAAAGTTGTTTATCCAGGGGTGGCCTTGTTTATGCTACCTCACCAGTACATATACTCTTTCCTGCTATAGACTCAAGATGGGACTTTCACTATACTGAATAGTCTACCTGTGTACAGAACAGAAATGTCCAGAGTGTTGTTAGGGCCCACTTGAGCATGCATGCACTATGGTTACCCAAAAGTTTCAGTAATAACTGTGGCTTTGACTCAATTTATTGTTTTGGGTTAGTCAACCAGAAACTTTCGATGTGGTATTTGGCAAACGAACATAGCTAGCAGCATGATCTTTGGACTGCAGATAAGTACCACACACGCGAAACATTTGACGCTTCACCACTTCGCTTGCCAAGCATTCCTCTACTAATCTAGATGTTCTTTTGTTTATTGCAGGGGCTCTCCCAGTCAAAGATGATCCAGAGGTGGAGCTCCCAATCTCAGACAAGACTCCTGCCCCAGTTCTGCCCCCACGCAGAGCCACATCGGGTGATAACGAAGGGACTCCAGCAATCCCCCCACACAGGCACTTGATCTGTGATAATGAAGGAGCCCCAGCCGTCCCTCCACACAGGTTTTAATTAGAGATAATGAGGGTGCCCCTGCCATTTCCTCCCATAGCCACAGACTTGGAGTTGCCTATAACGCTGCAGCTATTTCTCTAGAGAGGACCGAGAGTGATTGTGATGAAGGGACTCCCCCACCTCCTCCACTTCCTCCTCCCTTAGCCCCTGAGGATATTGATTTTTGATTACTACTGAAATACATTTACTTTAGTCATTAGTTTAAGTCATACAAGGATCAATAAGACTGCAGCATTAATTGTTCATTAATTTTTTGTTTTATCTTTGTGCAGTACGTGTTTATGAGATTTTCTAAGCTGCAAAAAAGCTTCTGCAATAAGAACCAGCATGTGTACCACATCTATGGTTTGAACGATAAAAATCATTATTAAACTGGTATATATCTGTTTCTCAACTCAAGGACACACTCTTCCACCAGTGACACCATTCCTTGCCCCTCCCCCCATTCAATTAACTGCTGACAACTCATAACACTCCGTATTCAAGTGAGGGTAAAAAGAAAATGAACGTCACCTTATTCTTATGAATAACGAAGCAACAAAATGTCGTTGGTAAAGAAGAAAAGGTGAACTTTATTTGCGTTACCTCATTGAACTTGCTGCTATTTCCTGTATATACTGTGTTGGCGTACAGTCCTGCTGTCATGTTTCCATAGTAAAACCAAATAAGGAACATCCACCCTGAGTGTGTTTTCAACCTTCCCACATAGGCTCTTTCAGTGTTTACTTCCTTACATCTGTTTCCTTTTACTGGTAGCTACTCGAAACACATATCTAATCACTTGTACACTATAACATACTCTTCTTCATTAGCACTTCTGTCTAAATGATTAGCTGGTGAGAGGAGAGAAGTTACACGCATACTAAGAGCCCAGCCCAACAATTAGCGGTATCACGCATGAGCAGCTCGCCAAGGGTGTTGCACTTTAGTGCTTTTCATTAAACTGGTATCTGTCTCAACTCAAAGACACTCTCTTCCACCAGCGACACCTTCACCAGACGCAGTCTGATACTGTTTTGGGTGAGATTGTTGAGCACTGGGATTATAACCTAAAAGGTCAAACATTATTATCTCCCTGCAACTCAGTACTCAACACAAAGGATGTGTGTCTGAAACATATATCATGTGCTCATTGTCAGCTTCCTCTGCAGGTAAACTAAGAAAGGTACACTGGATACACACACACACCAACACAGACTCATTCATCCCTTCCCTCCCTCCAGACTCATTATTGCTTCCCTGACCTGAACCTGAACGTTAATCTTGGCCCAGCACCAATATTATAGTGACATTCAATTAACTGCTGACAACTCATAACACTGTATTCAAGTGGGGGTAAAAAGAAAATGAACGTCACCTATATTACAACAAAGTGTTTCCATATATAGTAAAACCAAATAAGAAACATCCACCCTCAGTGTGTTTTCAACCTTCATAGGCTCTTTCAATGTTTATTTGCCATCTGTTTCTTTTTACTGTACTCAAACACATATCTAATCACTTACACACTATAACACACTCTTCTTCATTAGCACTTCTGTCTAAATTATTATATATAATTATAGCTAGCTGGTGAGAGGAGAGAAGTTCCAGATTCATAGGGATGTGTTCTCTCTCCCAACTATCTTTATGCACATGTCATAATTATGTGTAGCACAAGAATAACGTAATATAGCTACCATAATAATCCATGGGGGCTCAGAGCTAGGAAAGTTTTCATACTGTATATACCTATAATGTTTTCTTGTGATAGAAAATCAAATCAAACCTTTTTACACTAGTTCGTTGGAACATATGCTGAGATTGAGCTCCTCACCACCAGCTCAGCTCTCCCACCACCACCAGTGACAGGGGAGATGGTCCAGTACTCTAGAGCCAGTGGAAAAGCAGCCATGTCGTCAAACACCACAGGAGCCGGTTCGAGGCGAGGTTTTTTTCTAACGATGGAAGATCACAGGGTCAAGGGGAGCGGAGGGAACATGAGGAGCCCACTCATCTTCATCCCCTTGGTCAGCAACGAACGATTTCTGTTTGAATGAAGACATTCTTTCTCTAAATGTTTAGACTCTCAGTTTCCTAATGCTCACAATTGCAATAGGCAGAATTTTTCGGTCAGTTCTTCTAATTTTGAGTCATCGAAATCTGCTGGTCAGCATTTTTCATTGTTTTAGCTCGTAACCCATGTTCATAACCTGTTTTCTTAATATAGGTTACACACATGCCCCGAGACTAACCATCGAGTGGGTGTAGTGTAACCAATTTGTACCACAGGAATTCGCACTAAGACAACTTATTAGTGTGCATGCCATGGTGTATGAGAGCTCATACACCACATGTGAGTGTATGGCTGAGTCAGCACACCATACACCATGGCATGCATACTAATGAGTTGTCTTAGTGCGCTTGTACCACAGAAGCCCTAGAAATCAAAGGCACCACACACCACATGGCATGCGCGTGTGAGTGTAGTACACAACCGGCAGGCACGAGTTTTGTGACTGGTGATGACGAGGCTGGATCAGACGCAACTGCTAGCAAAAAAGGAGATAGAAATTTAAGTAAAAACTTGAGCATTATTATTTCTTGAGCATTAAGTGGACCTGAATGAGAATGCTATTTAGGTGAAAACTTGAGCATAATTTGCCGCCAAAGCCTGTTGATGACACATTTTCATTGTAGTGAATGTAATGTAGCCACTTGTGAAATGATATAGGAATCATTCCCAATGACAAATAATGTTTTGCAGATTGACGTGGAGTTGGGTGAGTGACAGTGCCAAGCTGGCAGAGGTGGTGCTTCAGTGGTATGAGAGAAAGGAGTGTGTGAGGTGGTCAGATGTGTCCTCTCTCTGTGAGCAGATTGGTTTCAACCAGCTATCCGAAGCATTAGCACTGCTTACATCACCAGTGAGTTTTATTGCAGTATCGTAAATGGATTTCCGCAACAAACATTTTTCTGAAATGGTGAGAATGATTGTGTTTCCGTGCAAAGTTGTTTATCCAGGGGTGGCCTTGTTTAAACTACCTCACCAGTACATATACTCCTTCCTCTGCTAGACTCGTGATGGGACTTTCACTATACTGTATAGTCTGCCAGTAATCTCGGTGTACAGAACAGAAAATGTCCAGAGTGTTTTAGGTCCACTTGAGCATGCATGCACTATGGTTAAAAATGGTTACCCAAAAGTTTCAGTAATAACTGTGGCTTTGACTCAATTGACTGTTTTGGGTTAGTCAACCAGAAACTTTCGATGTGGTGTTTTGGCAAACGAACATAGCAGCATCATCTTTGGACCACAGATAAGTGTACCAGTAAAGAAATGCAGTCTTTAGAAAGTAGCCACTGACCATACTACCATAAAACTAGGTTCCTATGCACAATCTAAAACAGCATGAATGTTGCACTTGGCCTTCCTTGTCGTTTTAATGATGTAACAGGCACTGTATACAACGTGCAAAACATGTGTGACAATGTTGACGCTTCATCACTTCGCTTGCCAATAATCTGTTGCATTCCTCTAGCAGGGGCTCTCCCAGTCAAAGATGATCCAGAGGTGGAGCTCCCAATTTCAGACCAGACTCCCGCCCCAGCTCTGCCCCCAAGCAAAGCCACATCGGGTGATAACGAAGGGGCTCCACCCATTCCCCACACAGGGCCTTGATCTGTGGTAATGAAGGAGCTCCAGCCATCCCTCCACACAGGTTATAATAAGAGATAATGAGGGTGCCCCTGGAGTTGCTTATAACGAGGAAGCTGCAGTGTTTTCTCTAGAGAGGACCGAGATTGATTATGGTGAAGGGACTCCCCCACCTCCACTTCCTCCTCCCCTAGCCCCTGAGGATATTGATTATTGATGACGATGGTCATACGTTTACATAAAGTCGTTAGTTAGTCATACGAGGATCTGTAAGACTACAGCATTTGTTGTGTTTATCTTTGACTGTACTATATGAGTATTCTCAGCTGCCTATGAATTAATAATAATAAAAGTTTACCAGCATGTGTACCACATCAATGGTTTGAACCATTATTAAACTGGTGTCTGTCTCAACTCAAACGCACATACTTAGCTCACCTCTTCCACCAGCGGCACATTGCATTTCACCAGACACAATCTGATATAACATGGGTGAGTTTGTTGAACACTGGGATTATCGCCATAATATTTTTCTTGGCTCCAAAACGTCTATAATGAAATATCTTCCCACAACTCACTATAATACTCAACACAAAGGATGCATTGGTGACTCAAGTAACTGGAAATGCTCAAACCTATCCTCAAACTTCCTCAGCAAGTCACCTAAGAACAGTTAATGTACAGTGGATACTCACACACACACCAACACAGACTCCTTCATCCCTTCCCTCCCTCCAGACTCTCATCATTGAGTCCTTGCATCCCTGACCTGAACCTGAACGTTAATCTTGGCCCAGCATCAATAGCGCCATACCCAAACACGCTCTGTATGTGTGCTCTGCTCAGTGAGGGTGTAAAGAAACCAATGTCAATTAACTGAAGATCTTTCTGCACATGCAAGCGTGCCGAAAGCATGCTCCCTGTGGTTTAATCCTTTGGATGCCATTTAGTGTGGCTCAGCAAAAAAAAACTAAAAAAACCTACGTGAGTCACCCCAGGAGTGACGTTGGGATTTGCGTATGTATAATTATAGGTTTCGATGAGGAGCTCCACTGCAACTCATTCCGCCATTAGCATGGCTCAGAAGCTCCCATCTCGTGTGCATGCTCATACAATAGTAGGCGGGGTGAAGTGAACGATAATAGTAGTCCGTACAATGCGTTATGACAGAGTGAAAAATTAAAAGTTATACACAGAAGGAGGAATTGCGAAAAGTGTAGGAAGAATTTCAGGAAGAAATAGAGGAAATATTTCTGCTCTACGTGCAGGAAAAATCCTAGTATTCTTCCTGTACATGAGGAAATATCCTACATTTTTGCTTGAAATTTCTGTACATTTCCACCACATTCCCCAAACATTATGATATTATGGTTTCTTATTAGAGAGTGTTTAGCAACGCACATCAGAGCTCATGTTGCTGAATCAATGTTAGCTGGTATGTCCTACATTTAAGGTGACTGGAGTTGTGCTATTTGGTGTGCCACATAGGCGCCAGAGCCGTAGCCAGAGTGGGTGTAGCCATAGTCACTGCTGTTCATACTCTCTCCTGCAAAATACAGACTGTCATTGACTGGCTTTAGAAGGTCGAAGACAGCTTCCGGGACTCCTGTGCGGTGGGCCGTAAAGGCACAGCGGAACAAGGGATCACTACTCCGCCTCCATTTCGATACGAGAGAGCCCTGTATGGATCCGGTATGTCTGGCCCAAATATCTTCCTGAGAATAGTCATGACTTCACACATGGTCTCTTTTTCACTCCGTTTTGAGACTCTCAGGTCCAGATTCTCAGCAACGTCAACAGTGATGACATTTGGGGTTAGTTTGTCTAGAATGTAATAGACCTCGTTAGAGACGTATCCCAGGACCTGCTGGTCTTCCTCTGTGACATTCCAAAAAGAAGAGTTGAAGAGGAGATGAACCTTGCCATAGTAGACTGGGGTGGCATTCCTGATGGCATCGTGTTTCCAGTCGGGCAGTGGCGGTTTAAAACAAACAGAGTTCTCCTCTTCATTAATTGCTGCATTGAGGGCTCCTATACTAAAGGTCACAATGCCATACCTCCCACAGTATAGTGATGATCCATTCACAGTTGTGCACACACAGTCCTTTGCCATGTGTACTGCTGTCACAACAGAGTTGAGTTTCACACGATCTTTCTTGAAGTTTCTCGCAAGGCACTCTGTCACGAAGGAGTATCCCTTCCTAATCAGTCATAGTAGGTGTATGGAGGGAAGTAAAAGAGCAAGGATGCTTCATCTGGTGTGATGGCACTGTCAAAGTCACACTTTACCCACTCAGTAAAGTTGTCCAGTGGAGTGAGTGTCGTCCATCCCTCCTTCGTGAAGCCCTCCCTGAGGGAAATGTCACCAGCCAAGATCATCGCTGGCAAGCTTTCTTGTATGCCTCATCAAACGCCGCCTTTCTCTTCAAATACGTTCCATTCTCGTCACAAATGTCGTACTCACCACCAGAGCTATTGTAGACCCGGGTGAAGTCAAAGGAAGTGACACTGCCATCAGGACCATCTTCGTCACAGGCTGTCCACTCTCTCCAGATGGGATGGTGCTCCTTGTCCCTCAAGTCCAGTCCGTGGATCCAGTTAGCCCCCGGCTCCAGGCCCGCGCCATCGTCCTCCCTGATCCGACCTCCTATCCTGTCGCCTGCCTCCAGGACCAGAAAGTCTGTGACACCGTTCACCTCCAGTGTCCTGGCTGCGGTGACCCCAGTGATCCCTGCTCCATCAGGACGTCCACCTCGGGAGCCCTGCTGTCCACGTTCAGACTGCACGACGCAGACAACACAGCACGGCTAGCAGCTCCACCGACCAGCAGCAATAACCCCAGCACATGCATTACTCAGTTGCGTTGTGAGACTTGTTAGGCTGCAAAAGCGAAACCAAAGCAAGAGCGAAACAGGATTGGAATGCGCAATTAAGGCCGCACGGCCATCCGGTATTGGAACGTGTAACTGCATGCGGAAGTTCCTTATCCTGGGACTAAAGGAGGAAGAAACGTCTCTCAGACCATCCTCACTCTTGTACTTAGCAGCAAGTCGAAGGCATTATGTGTAGAGCCTCGTTTCGCATTGCGTAGGTGCGTTGGTTAACGCATAAGCGAAACGGATGTCAATCTAAGCAAGGTTATAGCTAGGTAGGTACTTTTTATTACCATTATTGTTGTAATTTGAATCTTAGTTCTTGCAGAGTGAAGGAAAAGTTCTGGAGGGTTGTGGGCAAACGACACTGGTCCTATCACAAATGAGAGAAGCATTGAACAGGTAGAGGAGAACATTCCACATTCACTTCTAAGGAGGAGGCAAGCAGTTTTGTAGTTAGGTAAAGGAAGAGCTAAGTCCTGCAGCTAAAAAGGAAGATAATCATAATATTGTGATTGATGATTCCAATCAGGCGGAAAGTGAGTGGCCAACGTCATGGATTCCATCTCTTAATATGACTCAGTCCGACAAAGCAATCTTGAAAAGTTCCAATGCATGGCTATCTTTAGGACTCCATAATAAATGCTGCACAGTTGCTATTAAAAAGGGGAAATGCACTGGTTGGAAGTTTACAAAATGTCAACTTTGGGCTCACAAATCATTTGAACTGGAAACAGGGGAAATTCATACAAATAATCCACACTGGGGAGGGCACTGGCATGTGGTATCGACAATGGAACTCAACATCCTGATGTCAATGTGTTTGACAGTATGTACTGTCATTGCCCTGAACATAGCAAGGTACAAATATCAAACTTGCTAATAACAAAGAAAAACACAATTCGACTTCACTACAACAATGTTCAAATGCAGTCAGGTCAGGCAGACTGTGGCCTTCTTGCCATTGTATTTGTGACTGCACTTTTGAACGGCTTACACCCTGGGGCATATAATTTCGATCAGAGTTTGATGCGGTCACACCTACTCAATTGTTTTGAGAGGGGGGAAATGGAAATTTTTCCAATTATAAAAGAGAGGCGGGTCAAGAAGAAGATTAAAAGAATAGAGGAATTCAATGTATACTGCAGTTGTAGAAAGCCGCTAACACGTGGAGCTCAATTCATCCAGTGTGGGGCATGCCGGGTGGATGGTATCACATCGATTCTTGTGTAAAGATTGACAAAGTTTTTTTAAATACCAAGAAGAAGTGGTTATGTTACCTCTGTAAGTGCTGAAAGGCAAACAAGCTTTCTTCATGCGTACCATTTTGTCTCTTTCACCATGTAACCTTCTTCAAAACATACCCATGCCATACTCCAGTGATAATACTCATGAGTGTCATTATTATGGTACCATTCCACATATAACTTCTATCAAAATAATCTTCTAACCATGTCTTCATTATCCGTCGCTTTTCTCTCTGAGCAGCAGCTCTAAAGAGACTCATTAGAGACTTCCCTGGCTGTTCCCTTCCCAATTTTGTCTACTGTCTCCTTTGTCTCCTTAGTCTCTTTGTTACACAAGATGAAGTGTATAGCAGATTCTATACTGTACGTCTAATATCTTGTCAGCAACGGTGTAGCACAGGAGAGCGCAAAATACTAGAGCGCGCCGCACAAAATACTAGCGCGCGCCGCACTTTATAGGCGTGTCGTTTCGCTCTTGCGTTGGTTTCACTTTTGCAGCCTAACACCCCCTTCATTTTGAAGAAATGATTTTTCCATGTATGTTTGTGATGGTCAGTCGGTCTGTCTCAGCCGAGGTCCTGTAAGAGACAGCAAAACCCCTTGATGACAGATTTCGTGAACATTAATAAGAATAATTAATAAACAGTTTGGGGACAGGGCTAGTCAGAGGGGATACAGTACACTGTTTAGAACACAGCTACACACCTTGAACGGTTGGCCTGCACATTTGCTACCATGTCACCTCCATTGGAAGGGTAGAAATTCCAGCCACCAGAGAAGTCAACTTCTATATCCCGGAGGATCTGACACACCAGAGTCTCTTCACTGCCCATGGGAACATCTGCGAGGGAGGGGGTACAACACCTTGTCACAGATGTAACATACACTGATGCTGTATACAGTGTATATGTAGTCGAGCACTCTTGCATTTCTGTTTACAAAAGCTTACTGAGGGATATGCACTGGTACTCATGGACCCGCCGTCAACTCATGGCTATGCTGAGGTGCAGGGATCAGAATATGCACCCTCCGGGTCCTTTGTCATGACAGCACTACGATTTTCAGGGAACCAAAAGCTGACTATTATACATATTACATTATACAAATTCGCTGTGGGAGCACATGCATGTTATCCCAAAGGTTCAATTGAATTTTTCTCTCTTTTTTATGTACATGTGTATGTATAATGTATGTATAATGTAGATGTGTATAATATGTGCATGTGTATGTATGTACACTGTACATGTTGTGGGGATGAATCTCATTAGTTCAAAACCACAAGTGCTGCGCTCATGTCAGCCTTTATAAACTCATGATGCCAGAGAGAGAAGTTGTGGTATGCTCTGCTGATGAGGGCCAACAAGCCCGAAACAGCTGTCCAGAGCTCCCCATCTCTTTTCTCTTGGCATCACATGGTTTTTTCTACATGTGTATGTTTTATGCTTAAATATAACTTTACTGTCGCTGTCACCGCACATCAGCCATTCATCGTTACTCTCAAATTCTGATACACAGTTTATGTAGCTCGGTCTCTCCTCACAGTCAACTTGTGCACAGCATCTCCCAAGAAGAGTTGGCAGGAATAGAATTGCCCAGAGTAGAAGACGGAACTGTAATCTCACAGTAGATCTCAGCTGCAAGCTTTGGAGCTGTTTTGTGGAAGGGTTACGCACACAATAGTGATGTCACTGGAACAACCAAAGCAGTTCTTTGCAGCAAATCATAAAAATGTGACCTTGGTGGATGATGCTACATTTTCATTGCCAAGTATTGGTTGTATAGGCATTGCGAAACATCCAGAGTTTTCTAAAACATTATGTACATGTCACTTTTGATAACGGCCTAAACAACTTGAGCAACTCTATGCACATGATCTATGTACACAAACCCACAACACGAATGCATTGCAGCATGGTATATAGGGGATTTTTCATGTGGCTGGCATTTGCTCGCAGGAAAAACCACAGTTTATAGAAACTATTTCTGCCAAATAAGATGGGAATGCCGGCCATGTTTTCCATAGAGCCCAGGGAAGCATCATTATTTTATGTATGTAGCTGTTGTAGGTGAAAGAATGCTAACCGTTAGCCCTTACATAATGGCACATTCCCTATAAGAGTAGCACACCAGGCAACAATATATAGGGATTGTGTGATTGGGTTGGGGGTGTCAGCGTGCTCATATCTGTTCATTAGCCATGCTTCATGTATCCCATCCCCATCTTGTCTCCCTTTCTTTTTTATACCATCCCTATATGCCTCTTTTATTTAAATTCACAGAATTTTTATTTACTTGTACAACTATACAGTTCTCTAGTAGGCAGCCAACAATTGTGTTTCTATATAAGGGGGATGTAGGGATGACACTTTATGAAATCATAGAGAAGGGTACGAATAAGCCTACACTGAGACAGAAAGTTGTTCATAACCCCAAGTGAGATCTCACGACAGACACATGACAACTACAGTAAAACCCTCGCTGCAAATGCGGTAATAATGTACAGTATGGTGTGTGACAAACTATGTACCTACCCCTGGTCAGTGCTGCCAATAGCACACCAATTTTATGGAAAGCATGCACATGTACAGGCACACACAAATGCACACATACAGGCACACAAAGGCACATGTCCCGCGCACGTGTGCTGTGGCGATCTTCCTTTCTGCCATGCACAGCCTCTGTGCCTGCCTTTCATCCTGCTGAGACATTTATGACATGTCTCACTCAATCCGGACCTTGTTGCTATTTTTTAGAGTACTGAAAGGGTAGATGAAAGCAACATCCAAGTGCCGACCGACCACCTCTGAGGATGCGTGGGTGATTTTACGAGATAATGCCGCCATGCCACCCGCCTACCGGGTCAAAGTTCACAATTGTGCGAGTTTTGTTGACGTTTCTAGAAGTGTGTAAATTTACAACATTTTGTGACTGAAAGGGTATAGCTATTATATATACGGGTTTCTAGTCCGCCGCCCGCAAGAGAACACAGTTTTGGCCTGACTGCGCATGCAACCCTGTGTGTACTCATGGCTTTGCACTTATCTTCTTTTTTGTTTTGACTACCTTCCCTCTATGAATTGTTGTGGTCATATTACTAAAGTGGACTAATGACATAATGAGTAAAACCTGTCCACATCCTGACTTTTAAAGGCCCTGACCAGAAACCGGAATGCAACTTGGAGTAGCCTAATCAGCACTGTGCTGTTTGATTATCTCTGTCGCTATAGTAATCCAATCGCTATGCACATGCCATGCATCAAAAAATCCCCTTCTTCAATATTATGCAGTTTTACCCGCCAGGACACAGGTTTAAACAATGCTACTGTTTGGTAAATACAGCAGTATTTGAAAACGGAACAGACAATCAGTAAAAACAGTTTAAAATGCCACACTGTCAACAGTCTCATACACAGGGACTGGAGCTGGTGTTTGTGTCTTGTGTGAGTATCCCTCATTTGACAGTATCCTCATCTCATACAGTGGGTTGTTCTCCATGTTATAGTCTGGCTCCAGTCTCTCACCAGCTGAGCCTTGAACATGGACACCATAAGCAGAGTTCTCCACCACATCACACTTCTCCTGCTGTCTGTTTTTATTAGTACCTATAATAATAAGGACAATTGCAGAACAAAAATTTGAGTAGAAAATGATCACTTCGAGGATGTCCTGTCGATCAGTAAGGTGATGGACATGGATGGAGTGTATGTGTGTGAACGGTAGTGCACAAGCAGTACAGCTGTACTACTATTCTAACAACGGAGAACTCACTAGAAGGACGCTGGGTAGATAGGACACCGCTGTGATCTACTGAGAACGCCCGGTGTACCACTGATCTGTGGATAGTACAATGCTTTTGGAACTGAATGTTCATCTCATTATACTCAATCTGTACTCGAAGGGATCACTATCGTGCCCACAGTTGTGGCTGAGTGTTAACTGACAGTGTAGTATTGTACAAGAAGGACTCTGGGTAGTAGGACTTTGTGTCATACTGGGTGAACGGTGTACCACTGAATCTGTGGATGGTACAATGCTTTTGGAACTGAATGTTTCATCTTCATTATACTCAATCTCTACTCGAAAGAGATCACTGTATCCTGCACAGTTGTGGGCTGAGATGTTCACTGACAGTGTAGTATTGTACATGATGTCAAAACTGTAAGTGGGGCCTGGAGTTTCCAACTGTGTGCCGTTGTCCACTTGAATAATGTAGTGATCAATTGGAACTCCTCCTCCATCAAACATATCTCCCAGCTCTAGTACTGCTGTGAAGTATGCCTTCTTCTCTTGGTATGTAATAGAGGGTGCCTTTAAGCTTGGTATAGCTGTATTTCAATAAGTTAGCTTACTCACACAATAAATCTTTAAGTGGCAAACCTGTTAAATACAATGTTGATGATGACTGAGGTTTCTGTAAGTCTCTTGTTACCACATGACAGGTGATGGTTGTCTTATTCTGTATCCCATATGTGATGATCATCAGACTAGTAGTCATGTCTGCCACACTACCATTCAACCTTGTGATATTGGTGAGGGTGGCAAAGAATATATCTTCACGATCCATGTGTATATCAGCAGAGCAATTCCTGCAGCATGATCTGCAATATGGGTCTGCCAGGGAATGTAAGGTGGTACTTCCCACGCAATGACACTGATCTGACTGCCATGACAATAGTATGTCACTGTCTCATTTGGACAGGCATGGATAGACAGAGGATATAAAGTTGGTTGTCCCCATACTAAGGATGAACAAAACCTTTTATTAATGACAAAAATGTATTATGCTCACCTGTCAGCAAGACTCCGCTATAGAAGATAAGAAAGATTACCATCACGGTGAACCTTTGAAGGACCTCTCCCTTGCCTTCAAATGGTCAGTTTCCAACTGTCAGAGAAGCTAAACACTTAGCTATGACGCCACCGAGGGATATCGCATGACCGGAAGCAATTTCAGCGTGCCAGAGCTCAGACGCAGTCCTGCTTTGCTATGATCGAGAGCCAGGGGAGGGGCCATTGAGGTTTTCGAAACCTAGGTTTGCCTGCATATATATGCTGCACGGAGGTGCAGACCGCCGGAGTAGCAATGCGCGCCGACGCCGCAAGCAGT